CTTTCCATCTTCCTCATGAACTTCATAGTTCTTTTATCTTTGTCACTTCCTCACCATTGTCTCAAAGCTGAGGCAGAACAGCCTGAACCCATATTTTGCATGGCCTTAGCAAGGCAGGATACTTCATTGAGATTTGGCATTTTATCCTTTAAAATGGAGAAAGCATGTTCGTCTTATAAAAATCATTGTGACAATTATCAGATAAATTATCTGTGAAGTGCCTGACTCGTGGTAGGTACCTAACACCCTGTGACTATTATACTTGTGCCCCTCTAGTGAAGTGCTGTAGCTCACTTCTGGTGGTTAGCCATCTGTCCCGAGGCCCAGCATGTGCAGTGGCTCACACATATTTCCATGGAAACCCCATCAGTAGATAATAGAGGGAGAGCTTTTTCAATTTCTTCCAAGTTCTCAGTCCATTCTCTTTTTTTCTAAGCCTCTCTGTGCATGAGATCAAGTGATGTTTTTGGGAGAGGTGGGGGGATAGGAATCTGATCTGACACATTCTTCTCCTGTAGTTTCTCTTTCCAGTTCCATGTCTCCTGGTTTTACAAGGCCCTGGATTTCTCAGATTTTGCCTCTCAGCTTCATCTGGATAACAAATGTACTCATTTCATTCTGGTCAAGATTTCTCTCAGTGAGAATTTCTCAATTGCCGATTGCTACAGCTGCGATCAGTGTTTACAATCTGATGACAAGTTGGAGATTAAGGCTTGTCGTCATTATTTAATTAACCTCAAATTAAGTGGCTTCTGGGCCCACGCCATGCCCTCCACAAGCCCAGGAGAGCTGCTAAAACAGTGCCTGGAGTCCTCATAGATTCCGGTTGCAACACTGCAAAGCAGGGGCTCACTTAGCAAGGGCTCTGAAGAGCAAGTCTGATCCTTTCTCACATGCCTGAGGGCTGAAGCTAGGCAGCTATTCAAAATATACGTAAAGGGAGGAGAAGAAAAGTAGTCATTCTTCTACTTTGAGGAAGCATGTAGCCTGTGAACTGCAGAGACCATGAGCCAAGAGGTATTCCAGAGACAAAAAATGCCCCTGGTCTTAATATTTAGAAACAGCTTTATTTTTATTTTACAGTAGTAGTATATGTCAATAGCAAAATTATAAATGATAATTGTAAAAGAAGAGAGAAAAAAAGTAAAAATTATACAAATTCCTACTCTCCACATCTGCTTTTAAGGCTCACCAGAGCCGTCCAATCTAGTAGCCACCAGCCAGGTGTGGCTCATGAACCTTTAAAATAAGGCAACTCTGAATCGACGTGTGCTATGAGTGCAAACTACACACATAATTTCAACTGCTTCATATAGAAACAAAGACTTTAAACTATTACTATTTTGTGTATGTTTGATTAATTAAAATATATCACTAAATGAATTTCACCAAATTGTTTTTAATTTATTTATTATTTTTTAAATATATATTTCTTATTGCAGAGAGGAAGGGAGAGGAGAGAGAGATAGAAACATCAATGATGGGAGAGAATCATTGATTGGCTGCCTCCTGCATGCCCCCTACTGGGGATCAAGCCCCATCCCAGGCATGTCCCCTTGACTGGAATTGAACCTGGGACCTTTCAGTCCTCAGGCCGATGCTTTATCCACTGAGCCAAACCGGCTAGGGCTGTTTTTAGTCTTTAAAAGCCAGAACATTTGTGCGAATAATCACCGAAATCCTTAAGGTGGATTGGCTGTTGCAACAACTGCCCTCTTGAGTTTACGTGTCGTTCCTTCACGGAACTCATGCCCGAATCTGCGCTGCATGGTTTCTGGGGCCTCCTTTAACCCATCCTGGCGGTAGTTTGTCTTTTTAGCCTTGGCACTCCAGTTATACTTTGGCTTCCTCCAGGCAGGGTAGCCAGGTTTGCACAGGTAGACGTCTGAAGGTGGCAGCCTTAGAGCCACAGTAGTGGCACAACCTGTGCATCTTATTGTGATGCTTTCCAAACAATGATGTTCTCTTCATTATCTTGCTTCAGCGACCGAGACCAAAGAACTGTTTTTCCTTTTTATAATATGACTACTACACACATTAAAATTGCATAGGTGTCTTGTATTATATTTTTATTGTACAGTGCTATTTTATACCTTTTCCTTTGCATACCTTAAATTTTTTAGAAAGAAAAAGTGGGTTATCCTCCATAGAACTCTGTATCCTTGGTTTTTTTTTTCCAGGTAATAATATATTGTGAATATGTGTATGTCATGAAAAGTATGATATGACATTATCTGTAATCATTTGTAATATTTCATTACATGGTGTTCCATATAATTGAATATTATTGAACACTTAGCTTATTACCATTTTTTAAAATTACAAATTGTTCATGAACCTACTTCTAACTATATCTTTAGGCTCATCGTTAATTATGTTCCTAGGATTTGTTTCTGGAAGGCAATTAGTTGAGTCACAAGCTTGCTTATGGTGTTTAAGCAAATTGTCATACAGAAAAATAGCACTGATTCATACTTACTCTAGTTGTTTATCGGAATGCTCATTTTACTTCATCTTTAGCAATAACAGCTCTCATCATTGTTCTTAATTCTCGCTGTAATGAGCAGCATTGTTATGGATCTATATTGGCTCTAAAGATGCGTCAGGAGACTTTCTTCTCTCCAGCAATTTTTAAGCATAATTTTATCAAGAAACTGTTGAGAATCTGTAATGTGTCTAGCACTGCCCAAAGATTTGTAGAAGACATGGTATCTTACCAGTACTTCTGAAAATCCCTTATCCCATATAATAAAAACCTAATATGCTAAGTGACCAGTCGGCCATTCAACAAAGTGTAATATGCTAATGATATGCTAAGGCCTCTCAACCACTCACTATGATATGTACTGACCACCACGGAGTAGACAGTCGAGCAGTCGACCAGTTGCTATGATGTGCACTATCCACCAGGGGATAGATGCTCCATCCAGTAGGCTAGCTTGCTGCTGGGGTCTGGCAGATCAGGACTGAGCGAGATGAGACAGACACAACTGGAGCCCTCCTACGGTCCCTCCACGGCCCTGATCATGCACCAGTGGGGTCCCTCAGCCTGGCCTGTGCCCTCTCGAAAACTTGGACCCATTGGGGGATGTTGGAGAGCCGGTTTCGGCCTGATCCTGCAGGCCAAGCCGATAGACCCCACTAGTGCACAAATTTGTACACTGGGCCTCTAGCATTTAATATTTAAGTCGGAAGAGAAAATACATAGGGCATTGGCCATGTAAGTCATACTTACTATAATATTCCCAGCACCTGAAATGACTGCCTGGTATATGGTAGACTCTCAGTAAATATTGTTGAATGAATTCATAAATAAGTGTATGATAATAAAAAGTGATGAAAAACACAAAATAAAGGAGCAATGATTTTAAGATAGGAGCAATTGGGGAAATTTTTGTGGTTGTTCTGTTTTGTTTTGATTTTTTTTTTGTAGTTTAATGAAGGTAGCAGAGTGGAAGAATCAATAGACCTAAACATATTAAGAAATATTGTCGTTATTAGAGTAAAAATGTGGATGTGGAGAGTGAGAGAGCCTAGTGGGGGGGGGTGGTAGCCTGGTCTGGCCTGGCTCTGTTTGTGTGTGTATGCGTGTCGAGGTGGGGGGGTGGTGGTGTGTGTGAAGGGTGTCTTGTGAAATCTCAGGTGGTGAGACTGGCTCCATGGGAGAGGTTGGGTGGCTGTTTTCAGATGGGTGATAGAGGTGGAGGCTAGAGAGAGATGTACCAACTTCTAGAGGCCACCTGCTTCCTGTGGCAGAAAATAGATGACATCTCTGAGGGACTGGAGGAGAGTTTAACGAAGGGAGTATTGACAGAGGTGTGTGTAGAGTCAAGGGAACCAAAAAAGGTGGTGAAACATCTG